TATTGCTGTATGTATATATGTGACTACATGACCAATATTGATTCTGCAACATGTACACTCAGAAAAGTGAGAAATTATATCCCATCTATGTATGATATATCAAAGTATATAAATGCATTCTACTGTCATTTATAACTAATTAAAACAAAGAAATTAGGAAAAAAAGAAGTGGTGATGGAGGGCATCCCTGTCTTGTTCCAGTTTTTCGAGGAATGTTTTCAATTTTTCTCCATTTAGAATGATGTTAGCCTTGGGCTTAGCATAGATAGCTTTTATAATGTTGAGATATGGTTCCTATTATCCCTAGTTTTTCTAGTTTTGAACATGAAGGGGTGCTGTATTTGTAGAATGCTTTTTCTGCATCTATTGAGATGATCATATGGTACTTATCTTTAAGTCTATTGATGTGACCAATTACATTTACTGATTTCTATATGTTGAACCAACCTGGGGTGAACCCCACTGGATTGTGGTACACTATCATTTTAATATGTTTTTGTATTAGATTTGCCAGAATTTTTATTGAGAATTTTTGCATCTATGTTCATTAGAGATAATGGTCTGAAGTTTTCTTTCTTTGATGTGTCTTTGCCTGGTTTTGGAATCAGAGTAATATTGGCCTCATAGAATGAGTTTGGAATTTTTTTCCTTTTTTTCTCTTTAATGGAATAATTTTAGGAGTATTGGTATTAGTTCTTCTTTGAAGGTCTTATAGAGCTTAGCTATGTATCCATCTGGCCCTGGGTTTCTCTTGGTTGGTAGGCTTATGATGGCATCTTCTATTTCATTGCTTGAAATTGATCTGTTTAACTTGTATATATCATCCTGATTCAGTTTGGGCAAATCACATGACTCTAGAAATTTGTCGATGCCGTCAATATTTTCTATTTTATTGAAGTACAAATTTTCAAAAGAATTACTAATTATCTTCTGTATTTCTGTAGTGTCCATCATGATATTTCCTTTTTCATCATGGATGTTAGTTATTTGAGTTTTCTCTCTCCTTCTCTTCGTTAGCACAGCTAAGGGTTTATCAATTTTATTTATTTTTTTCAAAGAACTAACTTTTTGTTTTGTCAAATATTTTAATTGTTTCTTTTGTTTCAGTTTCATTGATTTCAGCTCTGATTTTAATTATTTCCTGCTTCTACTTTTTTGGTTTGTTCTTCTTTTTCTAGGGTTTTGAGATGTAATGTTAAATCATTTGTTTGTTGACTTTTTTTTCTTTTAAGGAATGAACTCCATGCAATAACTTTCCTCTTAGTACTGCCTTCATAGTGTCCTAGATATTTCAGTATGTTGTATCAGTATTCTCATTTACCTCTAAGAACTTTTTAATCTCTTCTTTAATGCCTTCTGCAATCCATTGTTCATTCAATAGCATATTTAGTCTCCAGGTGTTAGAGTAGCTCCTAGTTTTTATTTTATCATTGATTTCTAATTTTATTCCATTGTGATCTGATAGAATATAGAGTAGTATCTCTGTTTTTTGGATTTGCTAAGAGTTACTTTGTGGCATAATATATGGTCTATTTTAGAGAAGGATCCATGTGTTGCTGAGAAGAAAGTGTATTTCACTCATTGATGAATGAAATATTCTATATATGTCTGGTAAGTCTAATTGATTGTATTATTGAGTTCTGTAGTTTCTTTGTTTAACTTTTGTTTGGAAGGTCTGTCCAATGGTGAAAGAGGTGTGTTAAACTCACCCAGTATTATTGTGTTGTGGTCTATTTGACTCTTGAAATTGAGAAGAGTTTGTTTGATGAACATAGATGTTCCATTGTTTGCAGCATATAGATTTATAATTGTTATGTCTTGTTAATGTATGGTTCCCTTAAGCAGTATATAATATCCTTCTTTATTCCTTTTGATTAACTTTGGCTTGAAGTTTACTTTATTTGATATGAGGATGGAAACCCCTGTTTCTTACTGCAGTCCATGTGAGGGATATCTTTTTCCCAATCTTTCACCTTCCATCTGTGGATGTCTTTTCCTAAGAGAGGAGTCTCTTGAAGGCAGCATATTGTTGGGTCTATTTTAAATCAAATCTGCCTGTCTGTCTTTTGATTGATGAGCTTAGGCCATTAACATTCAGGTTTATTATTGAGACGTGATTTATATTTCTAGTCACTTTTGTTTATTTTTACTATATAACTTGACTTGGTTTTTCCTTTGATTGGTTTTTCTTTTAGTGTAAAACCTACCATTGCTTATTTTCATTGTTGATTTTGTTTCCTTCTCATGAAATATCTTGCTGAGGATGTTCTGTAGTGCAGGCTTTCTAGTTGTAAATTTTTTAAAATTTTGTTTATCATAGAAGGTTTTTGTTTCGTCATCACATCTAAAGCTTAATTTTGCTGATATAATATTCTTGGTTTCTTTCAGAGCTTGGCATATGTTTTTCTAGGATCTTCTAGTTTTCAGGATCTGGGTTGGAAAATCTGCAGATAGCCTAATTGGTTTCCCCCTATATGTAATCTGATTCCTTTCTCTTATAGCTTTTAAAATTCTCCCATTCTGTATGCTAGGTGTTTTCATTATAATGTGCCTTGGTGTGGATCTGTTATGATTTTGTACATTTGGTGTCCTATAAGTCTCTTGTATTTGATTTTCCAATTCATCCTTCATATTTGGAAAATTTTCTGGTTTTATTGAATAGATTGTTCATTTCTTTGGTTTGTAACTCTGTGCCTTCCTCTATCCCAATCATTCTTAAATTTGGTCTTTTTATGTTATCTCATAATTCTTGAATGTTCTGCTTATGGTTTCATTGTGTGGTCAACTTTATTTCAAGATTATATGTTTTCTCTTTATTGTCTGAGGTTTTGTCTTCCAAATGATCTAACCTGTTGGTGATGCTTTCCATTGTGTTTTTAATTTGGTTTATTCTTTCCTTCATTTCAAGGACTTCTGTTGTTTTTTTTTTTTTTGCCCCCTCAGAACCTCCATCTCCTTTTTGAAGGAATCTTTTGTTTCCTATATTGGCTTATGTAACTCTTTATTGTAATTATATTTTGCTGCCTGTATTTGCTCTCTTATATCATCCTTTAATGCACAGAACATTTTAATTATGTACATCCTGAACTCCTTCTCTGTCATTTCTTCTGCTGTGCTGGCCATGGATTCTAGTAATATAGTATCTTGGTTTGTTTAGGGCACTTCATTCCCTTGTTTTCTCATGTTGTTTGTATGTCTTCCCTTGTAGCACTGCAGATCCAAGGTGTTACAGTTTTTACCCTATAGGCATATAGTGTCCCTGCAGGGTTCCAATACCTCTCTTTTAAGGGGGAGAACAATATTAACAGATCCCAATACAAACAATATACAACCTTGAACCAAATAACCACTATTAAGACATTTGTGGGTTGTCACAATATGCAGAAATGTTGAGTTTAATTATTATCTACAATATAAACAGTAGGTTTGCAAAAGGGTCTACAGTTTCGGATGGTGAACAAAGAGAACAGGGGTGTGGTATAGGATGAGATGTTAAGGAGGTAGGAGTAAGGATATAAAGACTTATTAGATCTTAGGAAGCTTGAAAAAGGAATCTAGTTGGCTAGTAGCAGGAGAAAAGAGAGAAAGTAATTTTGATGAGACTAGTAAGTGAGAAGACAATAGAATAAAAATCAAATAACCATAAAAATTAAGAAAAATAAAAATGTAGAAATAGGAGATATAAGAATATGCAACACAACTGTCATATACTACACAGACATTCCAGTCCTCAATAGCCTAATCCATGAAAAATACTTGGTTTCACAAATGTTGGGGATGTGGGGGTGGGAGAAGAGAGAGAGAGAGAGAGAGAGAGAGAGAGAGAGAGAGAGAGAGAGAAAGGGGAAAAAAGAGAAAAGAAAAAATCTCAAAGGAAAATACAAGGATTGTTTTTGTTGGAGTTCAGTATCTTTCCTGCTTCCCTACTCATCCAGTAGTTGGGATTGTCTGTTGTTTGCTGGTATCTCCACCCTTAGGCTAATGAAGATTATTAGGGTAGGAGGGTTGGTCTTGGGGACTGGAGCTCCTGGAAGTGGCATATAGTAGTTGCATGTCCCCAGTGGGAGACAGCATCTTAAGTATCTCCTTTGGAGCCTACTCATGTGATGTAGGTGCCTGGTCTTATCTCCTTATATCACCTATAGACCATAGACCTCACAATTCCTGGTCTCTAATGTAGTCTCTAAACTGTATCTCACTCACCCCCTCCCTTTCTACTTCCCAATCAGGAACCTCTCTCTCCAGAGATCTTATGGACTGTGCTATGGGGGCTGCGCACCTGTCCTAGAGAGCTGTTTTGTATTGGGCAGTTCAGGGCCAGGCTTGCGAGCTTGCCACATAGCCGCAAGCACTGTGCCCTGTTAGTGGCTGCAGGGGAGGAAGGAGTTGGGGACTATAGGTACTTTGACATTGCTTCTAGGACCCAGCCGGTTTGCCAAGCTGGGAGTTGCCCCAACTAAAGATGGTGACAAAGGTGTCCCAAGGGCTGGACAGTGGCGTTGGGTGTCCTGTTCAGAGATGCAGCTCGGTGGTGTACAGTGTTGTGGCTGGTGGCTGTCTTCAGACCCTGTTTGGTGTCCCCAGGTGCAGGCTATTGCAAGTAAGGGACTATGGCAGTGGTTACAGTGTCCCAAGATGGAGGCGACAGGGGAGCCTCATGGGATTGCACAGAGGAATGGTGACCAGAGGTCCTGCGCATAGGCAGCCACAACCCAGGATCCTGTGTGGGTTTGCAGCAAGGGACCTGTGCATTAATGTTCTGGCGCAGCTGTTGGGGGTCCTCTAATAACTCACAGAAAAACAGTATTCCCCACTACTTGAATCCAGGTCACAGAGCAACACAGAATGCAGCCTTCCTCTAGCCCACAATCTTGGATCTCCATAGAGAACATTTTTAAGGGTCCTGGTTTTTGATCTTGTCCACAAGGCCTCAGGTGGAGTGTTGACTTGCCAATAGTACAGGAGGAACTGTGCTGCCATTTGCAGTGTTTCCCTTGCAGGTGGAACGGCCAGCAGGCAGAGGGGCTTTCTGGGGTGCATTCGGTTTCTGCAGTTGAACGGGATGGCTCTGGACCTGGAGGGAAGAGCCAAGGTGACTCCAGGAGTGGAGGCAGGGTGTGCAGGACACTGCAGCAGCTATGCACACTTGTGTCACAATGGGGGCATATGTCAAGAACGGCACAGAGGAGTGGCTTGCGACTGTACATCCTCTGCCTATGAGGGCCCATTCTGCTCACATGGTAAGTGGCCAAGAAGGAGGCTTCAAGTACAACATGAAGAATGTTCTGGCATATGATGCTACAAAGAAAGGACAAAGCAACTCTATGATGATTTGAAATAGAATTTCTGTCCCAAATCCTCTGTGTAATTCAGGAAGAGATAGGAATCTGTTTTGAGAAGCCATTACTGGCTACTTCTGTTAGCTCTGGTAGCAGTCATTTCTGGATTGCCGTAGTGAAATGCCCCATGAAGAGGAAAAACCTCTGAATTATATGTTTAGACTAGAGATTTAATTTTATGTAAATCTAAGATGAAACATTTTGAAGGCAACAGTGAAATATTTATCATTACAAAATCAAGTTATAAAAATAATGGAGAATGTAGTTATGTGTAATATTTGTTATTAGATAAATAATAGTATATATACATTTTTAACCTTAAAATTGTAAAAGTAAAATGAAACAGTAAAAATGCCATTATTATTTTCTCTCTTGGGATAGTGAGGGATTAGGTTTTTTTAAAAAATGTGCATAAAGCAAGTATTATTGCACTTAAGTATTACTAACAAAACAAAAATTTTGTCCAGAGATTTCTGCCTATTTTGGAGCTGGTTCCTCCATAATCTACAGTTTTCAAGAGCATCACAATTACACCTTCAATGGGAACTCCAGCTCCTTAGCAGCTTTATTTCATGAGGAGCTAACACTAACCAGGGAAATAGTCACCTTGAGCTTCCGAACCACGGGGACTCCCAGCCTGCTGCTGTTTGTAGGCTCTGTCTATGAGGAGTACCTTTCAGTTATCCTTGCCTCCAATGGTGAGTATGAGAACCAACCCACTTGAATCAAATGTATGAAATATGATATGTCAAGAGCTTTGTAATGTTTTGAACAACCAATAATAAATAAATAAATAAATAAATAAATAAGAAACTGAGTAAGAAAAATGTGACCATAAAGCCACAGGACCTTTCGGTGATCCAGTCACAAACCAGGCTTTACTACAGTTGCTTTATTTTTCATTATAACCCCAAATATTTACAGCAAAAGTTAACATTTCAACGATTCAATTAAGATGCCTTTCTCCCATAAACGTTTGATTATTTTATGGGTTTGGTGTGAAACTGTGCTTCCTGTGATTCCCTGGGGGGGGGGCCTATGCTTCTATGTATGAAATATATAATTGAATTTTGTAGTTCTCTTTGAAATATCTTGTTTAATACATGGAAAATATTTCTAGTTCCCTCTAAGAAAAAAAAATAAAGAAATATTTAAACCATAGAAAAGACAATATCCATAAGCATCCAATAAATATGATGGTTCTTTATCTATTAGTAGTTGAGAAATCACTAGTGTCATGCGTATATGAAAAAGTTGAGTGACCCACCCAACTGAAGCCTGCTAAGGCTTTTTCAGGAGTACACAGTTGGAGAACAAACAATCTTAAACTGGTTTCTATGGATATGCAAAAACCATATGAGAATTATAAGTATTAAGAGAATTATTGAGCTCCATCTGTGAAGAAGTACAGTATGTGGAATGAGAGATTTGGATACTGCAAAAAACAATATATTTCTATTTTTCTCTATTTCTTTGTTATGGCACAAACTTTAGGGGGAAAAATCCTGATCGTGTAAGGAAAAAAATTAATTATGCAAATGTCAACAATACATTAAATTGCAGTGAATTCAGATTAAAAGAAGTTAAAGAACCTGAACATTAATGCAGTATTGCTTGAGGTTTTACCATTTAATAATATGACTATCACATTAATAATTGACTTAGAGCCTGGTTCAGAGTTTTCATATGCTCAACTTACACTTTTTCATTTAGTTAAGGAAAATTGAGGATGTTGGAAAGGAGACTGTTCATTATAATCCATTTGATATTAACTTTTAAAATAGTAACTAAATTTAGAATGTGGCCCTAAAATAGCTCATAAACGATCAATTTTCCAGGAGAAGTATATATTGTTCCACCCAAAAATATGCTCCATAGATTCAAATTATATTTAGAAAATTTAATGTGATTTAGAACCTGCGTGGGCAATTTTTGTAAAGTTTTGTTTTAGTTAAAACTGTCTTTTTTTTTTTGTCTTCAGGAAGTTTGCAGATCAGGTATAAGCTAGACAGACACAGAGAGCCAGATGTTTTTAACTTTGATTTTAAAAACCTGGCTGATGGGCAACTTCACAATGTGAAGATTAACAGAGAAGCTGCAGTGGTCTTTGTAGAGGTAAGATAATAAATCTAACAATGGCATCAATAATTAAAATAGTGGCTCTCAGAATGTATGAGTTAAAGCAAAATTTTGATAATACATCTTAATAACAGAAATACCCATTTAGCACTATTATTCTCTAAGTCTTGTTAGGACAGACATGTAATCAAAGTGTTTTGTTTAGCAATGAGATTATCAAAGCTGTTGTTAGTAAGTACTAACAGTTTTAAAAGCAAAGCTGTCCTCAGATGTTTTACTTGACTTGATAGAGAAATATCTAATATATGATAGTGAAAGTTGACAAACCCATTCCCACTTTATACAAAAGAATAAATGCTACAGCAATTTAAACACAAGGAAAAGGTCAAGATCTTGCTTAAAATAAGAATCTATTTTTGAAAAAGCACCAGAGTAAATTAAACTTTGAGATTTAAAATAGCTTATTGCATTTCCTACGGATTATACCATTTATGGATACTTATACCATGAATAAAAATAAAGGGAAAAGGGTGAGACAGTGAGGACAAGTGGAATTTAATGTATTACTGAAATTGTTCAAGAAAGGGCTTTCTCCATTCTAGATAATCTATTGTTTGAAGTTGGTTTCTTTCATCTTTCTGATAGCACTAATGTATCACTTATCTTTGTCATTTTTCTTGGCCTGCCCTTGATTCCCATCCTCTTATCATCCAAATTGCTCACATTTCCATGTCTACTTCTTGTGGACTGTTTAATAGGTTAACCAGAATGCAAGGAGAAGAGCCACTCTGTCATCAGGGATGGAATTCAATGCTGTCATATCTCTTGTGTTGGGGATGATTTTAGGTAAGTGAAAGAGTGTCTCCCCACAAGAAATGGCTCATAACCACGGAATTGCAAATGCAGGAAGCTTTTGTCAAGCTGAAAGAGGCTTCTTGTCATGTTGGTAATTTTCAGTGAGTGCTAATCAAGGTAGAAACCATATTCTTATCTGAGTGCACCTGTAATCCTAAGTGCTGCCTGCCAGGAGCTGCAGCCTTCCTTGAAAAGCTCTCCCACTAACCTCCCCTCACTTGGCAATCGGCATAACCCTTAAAAACTTGGTAATTTTCTAACTCAAGAAAGCCAAAATCAAAGCAGATATTAAGTTCACAAGTTACATTTAGAAACTTAATACACACTTTCAGCGAAGAATTCACAAGCCAAATAAGAAATTATTTAATGATAAAACTAGACAAGATTAAGAGAAGAAGACAATTGTGAGTTGCAATGAGATGTGTCACTTACTCTCAGCCACTCTTGTAAAATCACAGCCTAAATATCTCACAGACATTTTTCTGCCCCTAGTTATTTTCCATAAAATCATCAAAATAAAAGTGTACTTTACTAATTAGGCATCAAATTCTTTGTGTCTTTATTTTTCCTTTTTCAACATGAATTAAATAGAAATAAAAGTCAAATTTTAAATTATTTTAAAGAAAGCGTTATGAATCCCAGTGCTCTCCAGGGTGTTCCCATACATGTTAAAAACAAATGTGTGAAGTTTAGATGGTGCAGCCTAACTGACAGCTCTATGCTGGTCACATGGCATTAAAGATAAGATTAAGAGTTCCGGGTGTGGCTCAGTGGTAGAGCAGTTGCCTAGCATGATGGGCAATGCCCTGGGTTTCATCCCCTTCACCACACACACACACACACACACACACACATACACACACACAGAGGGCACATTGGGTTTCTTGAGGAGGGTATTTGAATTCTTTGCTGAAAGTGTATAGTAAGTTTCTAAATGGAATTGATAGGGAAATTTCAGCTTAAAGGGGTGATTCTGCATTGTCATCAAAATTTCAATAAAGAATCTAGCTAGTCCTGGAGGAGAAACAGCTTGTACTATTGGTCCTTTCACATGATTTGTTACTCTAGCCCTGGTTCTCATACATGGAAATCTGATTGAACCAGTTAAAACAGAAACAAAAATAATGATGGTTGCTTCACATTCTGTGTTAGGAGATGCTCATTACTGTTGCAGTCTGGTATAGAAGTGCTGCTAGTTATTTTCCTAGTCTCTAGCAAACTGGCTGTATTTCCTAGGCATTTCTGGATATCTGTGTTTTCATGATATTAGTAGTTTTTTATTCTATAGTATAGGAAACCAGAAGGAATTGGAAAAACAGATGAAAGAAACTGCTCCAACTGTCAGCCATGGAATAACAGAATACAGTTAGAGAAGGCTGTGAGATTCCAAAAAGTTCAAAGGCAGTGTTGAGTTTTAGGAACCAGTGGTTGCTACCCAGTTCTCAGCCATCAGCTGAACTATAATTATTTTTAACATTCTGATGAATGCTGAGATAATAATCAAGGAGTACAAAGCCTCAGATTTTTGTAAGGTCTTTTCTAAGAGCTGAATACTATACATTTCAATGTCTCTGGGAGGCTGGATCTTGAATGTTCTCAATACAGTAAAATGTTTGAGGTGATGGATAGGTTGGTTGGCTTAATTTGGTTATTTCACATTGTAACAAAAAAAAATCACAGCATCATCATTTTGTATCTTAAAAACACATATAGCTATAATTTATCAATGTGCATATTTTTAAAAACATACAAGTAGAAAAGACTTTGCTTTCTCTTTAAAAATTTGCTATTGAGCTCTACCCTCTGTCCTGGCTGGTGGTGACTAAGTTTGAGAGAAATGAGAAATTGTTCCCACACGTGGTACACCGATCCCAAGCTGTACTTTGGTAGAGTAGATGCAGTCTGTGAGTGCAGAGGTGGTTCCTCTCTGCCCTCAGTGAACCAATTCCTCTTTATTTCCAGATCAGATGTCTTTACTTTTTTCAAGCTACCAAGACAGAGTCAGTCGATAAGCAAAACAAACATAAACACACAAACAATTAACTTCCTGCCCTTAGTGTCTTCAGTGCCTGGAAGGAAAAATGAGTTATGTTCAGAAATGTCCATAGGAAGTTGTCTTCCATAAATGAAATTGGCAAAGGAGTAGTTTTATATAGAATTTAGTCTTAGATTTAATGTGGGTAAAGAAAGATGCAGTAGGGCTGGGACTGGTAGCACACAGTTGCCTGGCATGTGTGAGGCGCTGGGTTTGTTTCTTAGCACCATACATAAATACATAAATAAAATAAAATCAACAACTAAAAAAATATTTAAAAAAGAAAGATGCAATAAATTATGGAAATTGATTAAAGTGAAGCATATTTTATGAATGGTGTTCATATTAGTTAAAAAGTAGAATAATAAATTGTATTGCATAAATTTTTATTTTCCTACTAATTAATATGTAGAGGACAGTGGCATTAAACCAAAAGTGTTTATTTAAGAGTGATGTATTCAAAACCATGTCATTTCAGATTGTAAAAATTAAAGTTGAAATTTGACAATGAAGCTTATAGACTGAAGCAATTGGTCTAATAAAATAATAAGTATTTCATTTCATCTCTACCTAGAGGCATGCATCTTGAATTAAAGGCTAGTACAAATTTTCATGTTTTAGATAACTGTATTTCAAGATGGCTTCTGTTCCAAGTTGCTGCTTTTCAGTTAACAAGCTAAGGATGAACACAATTTTGTTCTCATATTTGGAGACAGCAATTTGGGTTTCATTTCATTAGCTTAAAATGAAATAGAACAATAGGTAGACTCAAGAGAGATCCATTCATTTTACAAGAAGTTGTCCTAAATTATGACAAGTTATTCATTACTTATTGTTAAAATTTTTAAATTGACAAAAATTATATATGTGAATCAGGTAAAAAAATGGTGTTTTAAAATTCGTATACATTGTGGAACGGCTAAATTGTACCATACCATACCATTCTGTTCTCTGTTCTGAGTTCAACTTTTACATTTCACATATAGATAATGAGGTCACCAAGTACTTTTCATTCTGTGCCTGGTGTATTTCACTTAATTCAGTGGCCTTCCTGATTCATCCATGTAGTTGCAAAGAACAGAATTTCCTGGAAGTCCATGTGTTATTTTTTTTTCCTTCCTCTTGAGTTCAGTTCCTAATGTGTCTGAGGTGTCAGCCCCGCTATCAGATGCACAGGTTGTAAGTATTTTCTCCAATTCTGTAGATTGACTCTTTACTGTGCTGCTTCCTTTACTGTGTAGAAGCTTTTTGGTTGCTGTAACTATATATTTTTACTTTTGATACCTATCCTTTTTAGGTCATATCCAGAATCAGTGCCCAGAATGTCATCAAGAAGCATTTTCCATATTTCTTCATATATTAGTTTTATAGTTCTAGACTGAATGTTGAACTATGCAATCCATTTTGAGTTGATTTTTAAATGATGTGACATAAGAGTCTAGTGTCATTCTTCTGCCTGTGGATATCTAGTTTTCCTAACACCATTTGTTGTACAGACTTTTTCCCATTGTGTATTCTGGGAATCTTTGTCAAAAATAAGTTAGCTAAAAGTACGTAGTTCTGGGTTCTCTGTTCTGTGCGATTGGTCTGTATGTCTGTTTTTATCCCAGCACCATGCTATTTGATTACTATACTTTTGTGGTATATTTTAAAATCAGGTAGTGTGATGCTCCCAGGTTTATTCTACTTGCTTAAGATTCCTTTGTTAATTCAGGATCTTTAATGATTCTGTATAAATTTTAGGATTCTTTTCTATTTCTATAAACAATATCATTGGAATTTTTATACAGATTATTAATCTTTATACAAAATTAGACATTTTGGCAATATTAATTCTTTGAATGCAGAAATATCAATCCAGGAATATCTTCTTCATTTTCTTTCAGCAATGTTTTATGATTTTCAGTGTATAAATCATTTGCCTCCTTAGTTAAATTTATTTATAATAATTTAATTATTTTTAAATGTTGTAAATGGAATTTTAAAAATTCTTCTTTGAATAATTTATTTTGTGCAGAAAATCTACTGATGCTTGCATGTTGATATTGTATCCTGTAACTCTGCTGAGTTTGTTTACCCATTCTAGCAGATTTTTGGTGAGTCTGTAGGATGTTGAAAATATAAAATCATGTCATCTGCAAACAGGAACAGTTTATTTGCTTTCCAATTTGGTTGCTTTTTGCTTTATTTCGAGGTTTCTTATTTGTTGTTTTGTTTTGTTGTCTTGTTTCTTTTTGTTCATTTTTTTTCTGGGAGTATTTTTGATGTTGTTGTTATTGTTGTGACATTTGTTTTGTTTTTCTTATACTGGGGTTTAAACCTAGAGGTGCTTTACGACTAAACTGCATCCCAAGACCTTTTTATTTTTTATTTTGAGACATAGTCTCAAAATCTTTTGATTTTTACCTTGAAAAGTTCCCATTGGCATTTCTTATAAGTCAGTTCTTGAACTTGCAATCCTCTTACCTCAACTCCCCAAGTAGCTGGGATTACAGGTGCCCACCTCAGTTTGATGCTTTTGATTTCCTTCTCTTACCTAATGCTCTGGTTAGATTTCCACTACTTTGTTGAATAGAAATGGAAAGAGTGAGCAGTTCTCTTGTTTCCTATTTTAGAGGACAGCTTTTAACTTTCCACTGTTGAGTGTAATTTAACTTGTACGTTTATCACATATGACTGTGATATGCTTTGGTTCCTTTTGCTTTGTGATTTCTGTAAGGCTTACATAAAACATAGTGATAAGGAATTTATTTTAGGCTGATAGCATCTTGATAATGTAAGAAAAACAATATTTTTACTTTATCTCACCCCATAGTTTGTTTTTATGTCACAATTACATATTTTTTGTTGTATATCCCTTAACAAATTATTGTCACTGTCATTATTTTAACTGTTTTATGTTTTAAGCTTCATACCAATGATACAGGTGATTTATATATCACCATTACAGTATTTC